TGGAAGGATATTTGAAGGCCAGAGAAGAAGGGTTATCTTATCAGTAGAAAGTGTGCATTAGCTGACTTAGTACAAAGTTGAGCTAAATATTTAACAGCGTAAGATGACTGCTCTCTAGAAGTTTAACGGCTATATATAATGTTTAACCCTGGGACAGAGTAAATATTCAGTTGTATATGATTTACACAACATGCTGAGATGAAACTGAATGAATTTTATAAATATCTCTTTATAACTTAGTACGAAATTATTGATATCTATCTAGGAATAAAAGCAATTATTATTCCGTAAAACAGACTCATTCTTCAGAATATAATCTCATCTCAGTTCTACCATTAGAAGCAACAAGATACGCTGGGCATGGTGGTTCGTGCCTGTAGTCCCAGCTACTTGGGAGGCTGAGGTGGCAAGATTGCTTAAGGCCAGGAGTTTGAGGTCAGCCTGGGCAACATAGCGAGACCCCGTGTTTAAAAAAAAAAAAATTAAGATTTCCTCCTCGCCATTTGTGTGTACATTCATTAAAAAAATAATAATGATAATCGAGAGCAGGCTAGCAGAATCGGTCCATGGAACTTCAGAAGCTTTCTAAAATGCCGTCAAGGTTCGGCAGCCTCTCTCGTGGGTCCTCACGGGCAAGTGCTTGTCGCGTGCAGCAGGCCCTGCCCTGCAGTGCCTCCACCTCCGCCTCCGCCATGTGAATGGTAGACTCACCAGGAGTCAGTTGTGTTTGTTTTTGAACCTGTTTAGGCCAGTGTACTTGGGATTATAAGTATGGACGTTAATTAAATATTATATATACTGACAACATGTGAGTGAGGGAAGAGAGTTGTTTTTCTATGACTTAATTTAAATGTCTCACAAAGATTCCAGAGACGTTGCCTTATATATTTTTTCTGTCAAATTAGGCGGGAATAAGGCAGCTGTAAAATATTTGGGGGACAGTTGTAACCTAGGAGGCTTCCGTGCTGATATTGTTTCACGGGCTTTTGCTCTTTTTTTAAAAATGGAGCCGGGCTCGGTGGCTCAGCCTGTAATACCACGCTTTGGGAGGCCGAGGTAAGTGGATTGCCTGAGCCCGTGGGTTCGAGATCCGCCTGGGCAACTTGGTGAGACCTCATCTCTACAATAAATCAAAAAACTAGCAGGGTGTGGTACCACGTGCCTATAGTTCCAGCTACTTGGAAGGCTGAGGCGGAAGGATCACTGGAGCCCAGCAGGTCAAGGTTGCGGTGGCCGGGAGTGGCCACTGCCCTCCAGTCTGGGCAACAGAGTGAGACTCCAACTCAAAAAAAAAAAGGAAACATGAGTGGAAGATGCATTGTGCGTGATTTGCTTAAGAGCACCCGCCAGCTAACCCAGAAAAAAAAGTTCCTGCATCAGAAATTAGTACATTCATGTACATGTATTTGTTTAAAGTGAAAATAATATTTCAAATGTATATGATTTTTATTTTTGCTTTTTGTAAGAGACAGGGTCTAGTTTTGTTACCCAGGCTGAAATGCAGTGGCGCCGTCATAGCTTACTGCAGTTGCTGACTCCTGGGCTCAAGCGATCCTCCTCCCTTAGCCTTCTGAGGAGCTGGGACTACAGGTGCACACCACCACACTTGGCTAATTTTTTTAAAAAAAATTTGTAGAGACTGTCTCACTATGCTGCCCAGGCTGGTCTCAAACTCCTGGGCTCAAGCAGACCTCCTTCCTTGGCATCCCAAAGCACTGGAGTTGCAGTCATGAGCCACCACACCTGGCCAGTGTGTCATTTTGAACAATATCTTCCTTTAACTGACTTTTTCTACTGATGTAGTAACTACCAATCTAGACAAGAAGGCACTTTGAAGGTGTATATACTGCCTTACAAGTGAAGAAGACTTTTGTGACATCAACAGCCTTGTGAGCTTGGATTATTGATACTTCTTAAATTGGGCTAGAACTGCCTCCTTTTCTGGTTTCCCGTCTATCGGGTCGCAGCAGTTGTGCGGCGACTTGGTGCATGGCAGCAAGCAGCCTGAGGAAGTGGGTATGCACCTAGGCAGCCGGTTCTCAACATCCAGAAGACGCAGGTATGGCACACGCCAACACCATCACGCCTGCCGTGGAGGCGGCCCGAAGGAGGAAAAGAGGGCAAAGGGCGTGACCTGGATCGGTCTCCTCTCAGACAGCCAGGAGTGGCCTGTGATACTCCACAGTCTCCTCAGAGAAGCCCTGGGCCGGGTGCTGCACCTTGGCCTTCTGATTTGTTACAGTTAAAAGGAGCCAAAAGAACGAAATGGAAACGTTATCATCCAGTATTTGATTGAGTTCAAAGAAGTCTGTATGTAGGCGAGCGACCTTGTTGCTGCCTCGCCTTGGCTTTATAAATAAGTTTAGCAGAGTGTGGTGAGTAAGAGGATGAATTCTGGAGATCAGGGTGTTGGGATTTGCGTCTTTACCATTTGCCGACTCTGTGGCTTTGGACACGTTATGTTCAGCCTCAGTTTTCTCATTTGTAAAATGAGGATAACGATAGAACTGACTCTCAGCAAAGGGTGAAAATTGAGTGAGACCATTTATTTAAATGCTTAACACTGCACCTGGCACGTAGTAGGCCTTCATTAAATGTTAGCTATTATTTTTTTAATATGTGCCGTGTGTCATAATATTATATTATGAATAGGGCTTTAACCAAGGTGCTTAAATATTTTCTGACGGGACATAGCTTGATGAAGTTGTCATTTCTAGAAAAATGTAGGTTATCAAGCTACTTATGAGAAGTGCACATTGTTCTAGTCTTTCTGTGGAAATGTGGCAGTCGTTAGTGACCTCAACACATTCTGGCCTTACTAAGAACTGCCTGTTGTCTTTTGATTGTGTGTAGTAGATAACACTGTCAGTGGGACCCCTTTTTCCAGAAACTTTTGTGATGTCTTCATGGTTGAGTTGGGCGGGAAGGGATATTACTATTTCTCTTTCCTTTTAATTTAATGGTGCTGTTGTTGGAAAGGAGAATCTAGAACATGGTTTGTTTAAGGCCCATTGGTGAGAAAGTCTGTGAAGGCTGATTTAACTAAGTGGCCCACTTCTGTTTTTACACGGGAGATCCTAAACCCATTTCTGTACCTGTGGTTGATCAGATGGTACTAGACAAACTCGGTGTGGCTTTGGCTCACCCATAGAAAAACAAATGTAACCTTTGCTACATGTGCAAAATTTAAAGGTTGTGGTAAACACCATTAAGATCTTCATGGCCTGATTATTAACCTCACAGAGACGTATGAGACCATCAGAAGACTTGGGCTCTGGCAGAGCTGGCCGGGTGTTGGTCAGTCTAAAAAGTCCACTAGATCTGAAAGCTCTTTCTTAACGGAGAAAGCTCTTTCGTCTCAGAGCTGAGAGATGGTTGCTTACACAATGTTGATGTATGCTGTCCATGTTTCATGTAAAATGGAATATGTTTATTGTGCCAAATGTGGTCAATGAAGAGATTTGGAAGCTAGCATGTTTCAGGGGGGTCAAACAGGAAGAAAATCATCAATTGTCTTTCAGGTAGTTGGAAAAGACTTGTAGAAAACATAGCATTCCAGGGAAAGGAGGAAGTGGCCAAGGTTGCTCAGAATACGGGAGTTATTCCAGGCTTGGAACTCTGCTTGAGAGGCAGCACTGGGGACTCAAGGGAGCAGGCTGTGTAGGCTTGTCTGGTAAATGGAGGATGGATGTCAACTAAACGGACTCTTACTGATGCAGCTACATACCTGGTGCTAAAGATAGAAAGACAAGACTTGCCCAAGATCTCTCACACTTCATTACATAACAGGAGAGATGAGAACGATCTGTGAGTGGTAGCACACCTTGCTGGGTGCTTGACTAATGGTAGGAGCAAAGTACTCTGGAAGGACAGAGGACTGGATGGTTGATTATGCATCAGTGGGAAGAAATTCTCAGGTGAGGCTCAACAGAGCAGGAGAAGAGGCACAGGGCCACCCCGCGCAGAAAGGCGTGAACCAAAGCACGGAGGGCACGGGCACATGTGGTGTCAGAGTGGCTGTGTGGGGTGGGGGCAGGAGACATAGGAAGTTAAGAGAGCGTGGATAAAGCTTTTAGCCCATGTTTCACATAAGAATGTTACTCTAGTTGTTCGGAATACGGTGGAGAGAGCAAAACCTCCAACTACGAGAGCTCCTGGTGGTTTCTTTAGGGGTTTTGGTGAGGACTGAGCAATGAGTGATGGGAACAGAGGAAAGAGGAAATTAATTCCGGAAGGATTTGGCACCCATGGGATGGAGTCTTGAGGAAGAGAAAGGAGCCAGAAGCTCTTGTTTTCTAGCTTAATTGACTGGGTGGATATTATGACCATAGACCAGTTTGGGGATTACAGAAAGGAAACAGGAGTTTGGGGCAGAAGAGGGAGAAAGATGGTATGTTTCGTTTCTGACATTTTGAATATGAGGCGCCTGCAGAACACCCTGGTACCCAGTAGGTAGCTAGAAACATGGGTTGGAAATGTAAGGGGAGACAGATATCCCATACACATCATTGGCACAATCGCCGGGCATCAAGGCGATGGGAAGAGAGGCAGCCATCAGAGAGGGTGTTCAGAGCAAGGAGGATCCCAGGACTGCATCTCAGAGAACAAAGAGCCAGTGCAGTCGGTATGGCAGGGGAATGTTCTCACCTGCGCATCTGTGCTGAAGTCCGGTGAACTGTGGTTCTGAATGTCTTGTATTCTTTGTTCCACCTCTCTCCTTAGTAAGGAAGATAACAGAGTTGACTCAAAATTAATGATGTGTAATCGTCAAGCATACTATTTTAAACTGCCTTTTTTGTCCTTAAAAAAATTTTTTTTGCTCTAAACTTAAGTCTCTAAATGTCATATTGCTGGGTTTTTTGGATTTCACTGATGTGAATGGACTCGATTATTTCAAGGAAACCGGTTAGCCATTTCTATCATGATGTTAGACTTTACTCCGTCAAAATGGTCATGTTTAGTATATTGTTAGGCCCTTTACCTGTTCTTTCTCGCCACAGGAGCTGATGCAGCAGAATGGGATTGGTTATGTGTTAAATGCCAGCAATACCTGTCCAAAGCCTGACTTTATCCCTGAGTCTCATTTCCTGCGAGTGCCCGTGAATGACAGCTTTTGTGAGAAAATTTTGCCGTGGTTGGACAAATCAGTGGATTTCATTGGTGAGTAGCTCAAATAACATTACAAGTCCTTTGGGTTACTGTCTCATGTATAGGTGTATCCCCCCCCTCGTTTTTCTTTGGAGAAAAGGAGAGTATTTCAGAGATTTATGAAGTCTGAAAACAACACATGATGTGGCTTGTTCATTTAGTGATCAAGGTGACTGGCCTTGTGACAGTCTGGCTAACTTTTACCACCACCAAGGTCAAGCCTCAGAGGCTCTGTAATTACGTGTTTGCAAGGGTTTGAAAATCAGTTAAACTTCTGGGGTTGAAGCCCCCCCCACACACATATACTTTTTCAAATCCTATAAAAGACTTTGGGAAACTTCAGTGATATTCCCTGTAGCCTTGCTGCTATGTTTTCCCCAGAGAAAAGTCAAATCCTGTGAAAAGGAATCCCATTACATTTAAAGTCTTTCAGTCAAGATTTCTCACGCACCCATAAGGGCAAGCAGTATTGGTCTAGTAAAGTCTCAACACACACACTCTCATTTGGTCGTTTTCCTGGCAGTGGTTGGACAGTTGCTGAGCTGTGCCATGCTGTGTGCTCTTCCAGGGCCTATGCAGTTCTGGGACTTCTCTGCCTCCTGGGTGCTGTTGTGACATCTGGGTGCCACAGGACCAGCTCTGCTGGGAGTAACTTGGGGACTGTATTGAATGGTGTTAGTGGAAAGCGGCTAGACAGAGGAGAAGCACCATTGCTGGGGCGAGCAGTGTGACTAACTGTGATCTCAGAGCTCCATGGGAGGAATTTTTGTTGCTTTCGCCCCGGCCACATTAGTTTGGGCACTCTAATTCATAATTAAAGACTCTGAATTGGTTACTGTAACTAAAACTAAAAGAACTAGTTCCCTTAAAAAAGCAGATTTATGTAAATTAAGACCCCACTGGCCTTTTCATCTAAAAGAATTTTCTAGGTAGTGCTGCTGGAGCTTTGAGCAATAACAAAAGTTCTCATTTTTCAAGATTTCCAGATCACCAAGGGGTTCCTCTTTAATTAGGACTGACATTGTGGAAACATGAAGATAAATGACTTATACTGGCTGGGCTCAGTGACTTAGCCTGTATTTCCAGCACTTTGGGCAAGTGGATTGCCTGAACCCGCGGGTTCGAGACCAGCCCGGGCAACTTGGCAAGACCTCATCTCTACAATAATAAAATTAGCCAGACGTGGTAGCGCACACCTATAGTTCTGGCTACTTGGAAGGCTGAGGCAAAAGGATTGCTGAAGCCCAGTAGGTTGAAGCTGGGGTAGCCATGAGCATGCCACAGCACTCTAGCCTGGGTGACAGAGTGAGACTCCAACTCAAAAAAAAAAAAAAAAGACTTAGACCATTCACGTTAAAAAAATGAGAAACAAAACCCTACAAATTAATACCTCTTCCCCAGTGTACTTTTAGGAAATATTCAGGATATTATTCCGTTTTTGCCTCTTTAAAAAATAGGCCAGGCACAGTAGCTCATGTTTGTAATCTCAGCACTTTGGGAGGCTGAAGTAAGAGGATCACTTGAGGCCAGGAGTTCGAGACCTGCCTAGGCAACATAGTAAGACCATGTCTCTATAAGAAAAGTACCAAAAAAAAAAAAAAAATTAGCCAGGGGTAGTGGTGCACGCCTGTAGTCCTAGCTACTCAGGGGGCTGAGGCAGGAAGATCACGTGAGCCCAGGAGGTCAAGGCTGCAAATGAGCCATGATCATGACACTGTACCACGGCACTCCAGCCTGGGCAACAGAGCAAGACTGTCTCTCAAAACAAGCGAACAAACATAAAAACAATATGGTTAATGTTCCCCTTGCATCTCACAACGATCCAGAGGCATTTGGCTGCAGTTCTAGACTCTATCTAGAGGAGAACTTGATTCTGCTAAGTCAGGACAATGATTTAGAAGGGGTTAGTAGAAAAGAGAGAAATGAAGAACTTTGCCTCCGACTTGTTTTTTTCTTTCTTGAGAGACAGTGGGGTCTAGGTGAAACTTTTCGTTCATGCAGAAGGAACTTTATACACAACCTCGTCATTTATTTGTGATGTCTGCCAATATTTTCACCTTCTTATCGGTGTTTCTTTGCTCGGTCCCATTGACTAGAGCCATCATCCTTCCCCCATCAAATAACCCAAGGCAACAACCCAGCCACTTGTTGACTTCAGTCCATAGTCGCTGTCATTGCTGGTATGTCATTTGAAAATGCGCCCCACACCTGGACTTAGTGACTCACAGCCTCTGGGTTTGCTGGAAGGATTCGGGTTTTTATGGAGTTTTATTTTTGGTTAATAGACCCACTTGGATGCTTACATGGGTCCTTGTTCCCCCCTCACTGTCCTCACTGTCCCCCAGGCTCCTGTGGGCTCACCCCTCCAGACTCAGTACTTTGCATGGAGGTCTATAGGGAGGTGATTAAGAGCAGGTACTTTGGAGCCAAACTGTCTGTATTTGAGTCCTGTCTCCGTGGTCAGCAGTTCAGTGGTTTGGGTCAGATGCTTAAAACTTACCCAAGTTTCCTGAGGTCATATACCTACCTTACAGGGATATTGTGAGGGTTAAAATAGACAGTGTGTGTGCCCTGAACACCGCGCAAGTACCTGACTTATAATGGGCTCTTAGCAAATAGGAACTCGGTTTGAGACAGCCCTTCTCTCTCTCCCCAGAGCTGTACCCTGTAGCCTCACTTAGTGGTTACTTCTCTTCACTTTGTAACTTCTTATCCTACTGGGTCTTTACTGCTTTCATTTGCGTTCTCTCCTCTTTGAAACCTCGATGTTATCCCTGAATTTCTATGGCGACAACCTGCTGCTTTTCTTTCTGGTGTTCTATTGCCACCTCATTGTTCTCTGTTCAGGACCCTGCAGAGCCTCCTTAATTTCTTCCATACAAAGTGTGACCCTAGCCGGGCTCGGTGGCTCAGCCTGTAATCCCGCGCCTTTGGGAGGCTGAGGTGAGTGGATCGCCTGAGCCCACGGGTTCGAGACCCGCCTGGGTGGCGAGACCTCATCTCTACAATAAATCAAAAAATCAGCCGGGCGTGGTAGCGCGCCTGTAATTCCGGCTACTCGGAAGGCTGAGGTGGAAGGATCGCCGGAGCCCAGCAGGTCGAGGCTGGCCACTGCACTCCAGTCTGGGTGACCGAGTGAGACTCCAACTCGAAAAAAAATAAAATAAAATAAAATAACTTAAAAAAAAAAAAACAACAAAGTGTGACCCTGAGCATGACACTCTCAAGACCCTCCAGCACCTAGTCCCACCCTTGAAACCTTCTCTGGAAACTTCCCGAGCAGCCTGAGCCCAGCCGTGCCAGCTGTGTCCCAGGCACTCGGCTCCGTCCCACACAGGCCTTCGCACGTTTCCCTCCTCTGCCAGGCCTGTGCGTGTTACTTCCTTTGGGTTAAGACATTTAGAGCCAAGACGTGGGCTGATAAGCCTCCAGTGTCATCACGTGTTAATTTGGTTTTCAAATGACATCAAAAACAGTTGCGGTTGTAAGAACAGTGTAAGCACAATGCAGAAAATCTGAAAAACAGAGAACAGGAAACCTCTGACCTCTACCTGTATCTTACTGTCATTGCTTTATCTCCTCGCAGCCTTTCTCAAATGTTTTAGAAAGATTGCTTTTTAAAATGTGTGTCAGTCGGCCAGGGGGAGTTGGGTGCCTCCTGTGTGCCTTATATGGAATCCTTTGGGAAGATGTTAGAAGGAAGATCCTTCTGAGTCCTTATAGTCTAGCTTTTGAGTTAATTATTTAAAAAAAAAAAGGTAAGCCAGGCCTACTTCCAAGAAGGATTTGAAGCAGTTCACAGTAAGAGACTAGGACCAAAAGACACATATATTCCCAGATATGCACACTAAAATGGGACAAAAGGGCAAGAACCGTGTGATGTGGGACCAGGGATGGTGCAAGCAATGGGACAGAAAATTTGAATTGCCTTTCCTACTGAAGTGAAGTGAAAACCTTAGCTTTGAGCTTCACCGCAGCTGAGGCGAAAGGAGAAATACTGAGATAGTGCAGGTTACGTGACAACTGAGGAAGAGGACTGCAGGCGTGGGGCCTTCGCCTGCACGGTTCACGCGCTGTGATTCGGAATGGTCCTGAGCTCTCTGTTTCAGCATCGCTTCGTATTCATTTGCTGATGTTTTCTCGGGTTTGCTTTCTCTGTCTAGAAGGGGAGCTCCTTGCTGCTTGATCATTCCTATCCCATCCAGAACCCCGTGCTGTTTTGCACATAGTGAATGAACAATAAACCACATACACTAGAAATGTGTAACATAACATGGGCAGTGTTGCATTGTTTCACCGCCAGAGCAGATTCCTTGCATGTCTGTTGACTGTAAGAATTTTAACGTAAGGTGCAGCAGCTTCTGCGCTGAGCACACGTGGAATGCTCTGGAACTGAAGCAGCCACAGCGTCCAGCCTGTGGGGGAGAACTTGGTCCACTCCCACATGGCGGGACACTAAGCCCCTCGACCGCAAAAGGCAGCGTGTTCGGGTCCCCTCGTTCTCTGGCCGTGATCGTGTCCCTGAGCCCTCCCACAGGTGATGGGGAAGTGCGATGATATAGAAGGACTGTAACTCCTGGGTACCACGGAGGGGATAAAAGTTCCCTTGGATGTCATTAAAGTGACCTAGTAAACCTGATTCCTGGCATCTACACGGTTTTCCTCTTAAATTCGGGAAATGAAGTTGAACCATTTTCTGACATAGAGGAAAGTTTCCTAAAGACGAATAGGGAACTCGTATGAAGACAGGTTCACATTTTACAAGTCACTGGGTCTGGCATCTTTTGTGTTGTGGTGTGATTTCATTATATCCCGTCTTTTCTCTTCCCCCAGCTCCCTCCTTCTAAAATAGTAATGTATGTCACATATATGTGAAATTAAAATGGATTTTTTAAAGTGTAGTAACTTTTTTTATGTAATCAGGGAAAAAACACACCGAAGTGTCAGATAACATGAGTAAACAAAGTGGAGATTTTGGATGGTTCTTATTTCTTTACATACCTTTCTGTATCTCTGAAATGTTCTACACTGAGCAAATACAATGACATAATGACAATGTAGGAATTATACCCAGGAAAATTTATCAAAATAATAAATAATATTAAAAAAATACATGGTGAAAAGTACCGAACTAAGAGTCACAGCCAGGCACAGTGGCTTACGCCTATAAACCCAGCACTTCGGGAGGCTGAAACAGGAGGATTGCTGGAGACCAGGAGTTTGAGATCGGCCTGGGCAACATAGTGAGTCCTCATCTTTACAAAAAAAAAAAAAGTCAACCTGAGTTAGTAACAAATAGCTTATTGATACTTTTGGACCTTGATAAATATGATGCAAACAGATGAGATCTGCTTTGAGATTTCCAGGTAAAAGACAAAGAGTAAGTACATGGAAACAGGATTTCCCTGCTGAACAGAATTGCTGTTAGTGACTTTTCTTGAATTTGACTCACACAGAGAAAGCGAAAGCCTCCAATGGATGTGTCTTGGTGCACTGTTTAGCTGGGATCTCTCGCTCCGCCACCATCGCCATCGCCTACATCATGAAGAGGATGGACATGTCTCTAGATGAAGCCTACAGGTGAGGACAGGGACACGGCTTGTGACCCGTTTTTCATTTGACCTGACCCATGAAGCGTTCCGAGGGTGGGCAAGCACGTTACAGCAGATCGTGATTTTCATTGTCACGGACTTTACAGGCTCCCGTGGACTTTCCAGTGGTCTTGCAAAGACTGGAAAAGAATGTAGTTTTATTATGCAGCATTACTTCTGCCGTCACATGTGTCCTATTTATCCTCAGCTACTTTTGAGGTTTAAAGAACAACAGACCCAGGCAGAGCTCTATCCTGTTACGGGAGTTCACTCTCTTCCCTAAGTGGGGAAGCATCATTTGTTCTCTTTTATGTATGAGGGGGAAGGCTCCAGTACAATATTCGTTACAGAATCTTCACTCTGCTTCGGACTCTGGATGGCTGTGAGGAAAAAGCCTAACACATTCACCTTTAAAACCAAATGAGGCCAGGGTGCGGTGGCTCACACCTGCAATACCAGCACTTTGGGAGGCCAAGGTGGGAGGATCACTTTGGAGTTTGAGACCAGCCTGGGCAACATAGCAAGACCTTGTCTCTACAAAAAGTCGAAAAATTAGCCAGGCATGGTGGCGCATGCATGTAGTCCCAGCTACTCGGGAGGCTGAGGCAGGAGGATCACCTGAGTCCAGGAAGTCGAGGCTGCAGTGAGCTGTGATTGTGCCACTGCACTCCAGACTGGGTGATAGAGTGAGACCCTGACTGAAAAAAAGAAAAAGAAGGTCAAGACCAGCCCGGGCAACTTGGTGAGACTTTGTCTCTACAATAAGTCAAAAATTAGCCAGGCGTGGTAGTGCACACCTATAGTTCCAGATACTTGGAAGGCTGAGGCAGAAGGATTGCTGGAGCCCAGCTGGTCAATGCTGGGGTGGCTGTGAGCATGCCACTGCATTCCAGCCTGGGCGACAGACTGAGACTCCAACTCAAAAAAAAAAAGGGACCCAGACAGACTTTATTTTAAATCCAGTGCCATCATTTAGTAACTGTGTGATTTGGAACAAGTCACTTAAGAACTTTGTTTACCTATATGATGGGAACAGTTACACCCACCTGATGCAGGGTAGTTTTGAGGATGAAGTAAATAATTCAGTGCCTTAGCACAGAACTTAGCACACAGAGACCACTCTGTAGCTGGTTATTCTGTCGTTTACAAAAAGAAGGAGCGCAGAAATATGTGCTCTGATGCTCTGTCCATCGAATACCTTCTTCCCGTCATGATAAAAATTGCATAATGTCTTGAAAAGTGACCGTGGGGCCCTGGGGAGAGGACGAAGTGGGAGGGTGGCTGTTACACTGTGTTCTGGGGGCGGCACTGGAGTGTGTGTCAGGGCGTCCTTGGTGGGAGGCAAGAATTACCTTGTGTCAACCGCACTGGGGCCCCGGGTCCTTGAAAACGAGGAGGCAGCAACCCGAGCCCTCCGGGCCTGTCTCCCCCTCACGGGCTCCAGGGCCGGGTTACAGAGCTCCCCAGCAGAGGCCTGTGTGCACTCCCCCAGGCAGCTCCCTGACCCTAAGCCCGTCATCCCCACGGTCTTTGAGGGGGCCTGCCTAGGAATTCCCTAGCTCATTTCTTCAATTAACGTTCTTACAGTGTAGTTGTAAAATTCAGGTTTCCTGTTTATTCCTCTCTTGACAGATTCGTGAAAGAAAAAAGGCCTACCATATCTCCAAACTTCAATTTTCTGGGCCAACTCCTGGACTATGAGAAGACGATTAAGAACCAGACTGGAGCATTTGGGCCAAAGAGCAAAATCAAGCTGCTGCACCTGGAGAAGCCAAGCGACCCTGTCCCTGCGGTCTCAGAGGGTGGACAGAAAAGCGAGCTGCCCCTCGGTCCACCCTGTGCCGACTCTGCTACCTCAGAGGCAGCGGGGCAGAGGCCCGTGCACCCCGCCGTCGTGCCCGGCCTCCAGCCGTCCCTGTTGGAGGACAGTCCCCTGGTGCAGGCGCTCACCGGGCTCCACGTGTCCTCAGACAGGCTGGAGGACAGCAGCAAGCTCAAGCGCTCCTTCTCTCTGGATATCAAATCCGTTTCCTACTCAGCCAGCGTGGCGGCATCCTTCCACGGCTTCTCCTCGGCAGAAGACGCGCTGGAGTACTACAAGCCCTCCAGCGCTCTGGACGGGACCAGCAAGCTGTGCCAGTTCTCCCCGGTTCAGGAAGTGTCCGAGCAGACTCCGGAGACCAGCCCGGACAAGGAGGAAGCCAGCCTCCCCCAGAAGCCGCAGACTCCCAGGCCTTCCGACGGCCAGAGCAAGCGACTGCACTCGGCGCGGCCCGGCGGCGGCGGCGGCGCCCAGAGGCCCCTCTTGTCCCCGCTGCACCGGAGCGGGAGCGTGGACGACAACTCCCACACCAGCTTCCTCCTCGGCCTCTCCACCAGCCAGCAGCACCTCGCCAAGTCGGCGGCCGGGCTGGGCCTCAAGGGCTGGCACTCGGACATCCTGGCCCCCCAGACCTCCGCCCCCTCCCTGGCCAACAGCTGGTACTTCGCCGCGGAGTCCTCGCACTTCTACTCCGCCTCGGCCCTCTACGGGGGCAGCGCCAGCTACTCGGCCTGCAGCTGCAGCCAGCTGCCCACGTGCGGCGACCAGGTGTACTCCGTGCGCCGGCGGCAGAAGCCAAGTGACCGGGCCGACTCGCGGCGGAGCTGGCACGAAGAGAGCCCCTTTGAAAAGCAGCTGAAGCGCCGGAGCTGCCAGATGGAGTTTGGCGAGGGCATCATGTCGGAGAACAGGTCGCGAGAAGAACTGGGGAAGGTGGGCAGCCAGTCCAGCTTCTCAGGCAGCGTGGAGGTCATCGAGGTCTCCTGAGGGGGGCACGCAGGACCTCCGGCTCGGCTGTTCTCTTGTTCACGGAAAACTCCCTGTAAATCTGAAATATATATATGTACATACATATATATTTTTGGAAATGGAGCTACGGTGTGAAGCAAAAGATGGCTCGACCCCGCTGTTCTCTCAACATCTGCATTTGAGAGACCAGCTGATGTTTTTCTCAACAAGAGTGGAGGGCAGGTGATAGAGTTCCCCCTAGACAGAGGCAGCCGTCCTCCTGTTCTTACAAGCAGGCGTGTTTGGTGTTAGAGGACAGACCCCCCCCACCCCCGTGTTTATGTTGTGCTACAAAGACTCAGAGACTCGTCTTTGCCCAGTCCCTTCCATCGTGCACCTTAGCGCTGAGACTGAGCCAGCTCGTGGGTCGGGTAGATAGACCCTGCTCGGGATAGAGCCTAACGGGAAATCCAAGAGAAAGGATCGTATCCAAAGCTGATTCACACACTGCGCTCACCTGACAGCCGAGTGACGCAGGCATCATTCTGCTGGACGGACCGTTAGGGCCTTGCCAAGATCTACTTTAGAATAAACCCAGTACCTCAGATGGGAAAGTCGGGGCTCTCACCACTACTGTGTCTGGAAGCCCATTTTCTAGGCGTGAATAGGTAGGTAGCTAGTCACACTTGCAGACCCAGTCAGACTGTCTACGCACAGAATTCCGGTTGGGCCTGGATGGAGGTAGTTCATTCTTTCTTCTCACCTTATGAAGAAGGAGGAGAGAAAGCATCTAGGATTCAACTTCACGGCCAGGAATCTGGCAGCATAACGCTCTAAGCTAGGGTTGAGAGGCTAGACAAGTCTACCTCCCTCTTTATAAATCAAAGAATCGTTTAAAATGGGATTGTTAATCCTTTAAATAAAGAGGAACTTGGTTTCACGCCAAATGTGAATTTATTTGGGTTGGTAGCAGAGCAGCAACAGCACCTTCAAGTTCTCAGCCAAAGTAGATGTTTCCTATTTCCTGTTTCACTGCATGGATACAGTTTGTGAAAACGTACTAATACGGAAGGATTTTACAGGAAACTACCCAGAGAGAAAATCTATGGAAAGATAAAGGAAGGTCAGAGTTGCTGAGGAGAAGCAGGAAACTTATTTCCTTAATGGCTTTATCCCCTTGGCGTGTGATGAGGGTGGCATTTCTGTAATCTCCTCAGACTTTCAAGTGTATTACAGGGCTGAGAGAGGCGTTAGTCAGCAAGGGATATTCAGAATAAAACAGCACAGGAAGGTGAGGAGAAGACTGTCACATTTGGTTTCGCAGGGGTAGTTTGGGAAGCCACAGTGAACGTGGTTTTCAGAAACGCGCCAGCCTGCTTGTGGGAGAAGGGCCTGGCGACACGGAGCGAGACGTGGGGGTTTCTCAGCCCTTGACCTACAGTCACTGTAGGAGTCAATCCTGGCAGCTGAAAATAACAGGCAGTTAGAACCAGTACCGAGTGGTCGTACGTATCTGCTTTGACACTTCCTGCCTTGAGTTTTACCAGCTACCGTGTGGTCCTCTTTTGAAGCCTTAATTCATGTCAGCAGCTTTCTTGGGGGTGGGGGCGGGACGGGTGTTGTCACTGTTCTTTCCTTTACTGTAAGTGTAGCTAGTTGCTGACTCATATCTCAGGTTTTTCTGTGTTTGAGAAATGGACAGTTCTTTGATTAGGATGTGACTTAATGTTTCCTACGGTGACTGCTAAAACCAGCATCAGATGGCATGATTCAGAACTGACTGACTTGACCACGAGGATGATGCGCTTCAGACATCACTAGTTCTGGACAAATAACGTGCTGTGACACGGGTGTAAGCGGAGGCAGAAGAGAGTAAACTGCATAGGGAGGACATTGTTACAATACCGAAAGTCCTGGTTTTCTGTACACGTTTGAATCCTTGTCATCATTCTCAAGTTCCACACGGTAAGTTCTGACGTTTTATGGACACACACCCCGAGTGTGTGACAGCTCACCACTTCCAGACTTTCACATCTGTGAAACATTCAGAAATGAAAGCAGTAGCTCCACTGCTAAGTGTTTCAGGGGCTGGGGGACTTGGTTTGAATGAGATCTTGGGCAGAAACTTGTCTTCTGCCACTTAGGGTTTCTTTTGGCCATGGTCCCCTTCCTTCCTCTAACTGTGATGTAGTCAGATACTATGACCTTAGTCCTTGGTCACTAATGTCAAATAATCAGTTCTTGGAACCAGGACCGCCCTCCGCGTGGCAGCCTCGGTGGCAGGCCCGGCGCCGCTGGGTGTCTGCGGTGGGTGGCGCTGGCTCTTGGCATGTGATCGTGGGAGAGCCTGGAGTCCACTGGGATGACACACATGGTGACTGTAAAGAGTAAAACGAGACTTCTGTGGGAGAAATGCTGGAACACGGCTTAGGACGTCTATAAAGTTAGGTGGAAGACTGTGTAAATGTTTAATATGAATATAGTGTTCTTCTGGAGTAGGGCAAGCTGGTGAATGGTGGAGTTGTGCATTTCTCATTTTGATGTGTCATGTATGTTAATATGAATAAAATCAAAACTGGTACCTGTTTATACATAAATGTGAGAAAAGACCTGTCTCTTGTGGCCGTACGCTTGGTGGGGACAGCAACGCCTGAGCAGCCAGAGGAAGCAGGAGTGAGACCCCCTGCTCTTAGGTGCGGACTTGGCTCAGAATCCAGGGCGGGCCATCAGGTGTGTTTTGCATTGTCACTCACGTGAAACACACATCGTTAGCTAACAAGGTGCCAGCCTCGCTCTTTACCGGGTATGAATATCAAATGCACAACACAGTGTAGAAGCCTAAGGCACCTGCTAAGTATTTTCCAGCTGACAGATTCCAGAAAACACAAGTACAGAGGAGAAAGATAAAGATCGGCCACACATTCATGGTACATGTTCATGTAATCATGTAAATAATTTTATAATTCCTGTAGAAAACACAGAGAGAGGATAGTTATTAAAATTATTTTCCATCTTTGCCATGTACATGCATCTTAATGACCTCTTTTCTTGTGACCCTGGATTGGATGACTTAAGAGACGAGAAGCTTAGTCTCATCAGCTTAATAAAAATTATGCCTTGAAGAAATAAAGGATTTACCCTCAGTGCAAGCAGGTGGAATAATGACTAGAAGGAGAATCACAGGTGACCTCCTTGAAGATGGTTGTAAAAGACAAAAAGTTGAAAGCCAGGAGGATTGGACTGGATGAGCTAGACTAGAAGACCTGTTTCCTGCAGCTGCAGAAAAGCAGAGATGGGAGGGGGAGAGAAGAATCGAGGGAATGAGGAATGAGGCGCAAGGCAGTCGGAGGAACAGGTGTTTCAGTGAGGGCTTCAGCGGAGAAGATGCAGATCTTTCGTCTTGGGAAGGCCCGAAGGCCAAGCCAGTTGTCTCCTTAGAGGCACACAGAGCCTGGGGCCCCCCAGAGACTAGCCTCGGCGGGCTGGGGTTGGAGGACCAGCTGGATTTGACAACTGAAATGAGACCAGGAAGTCAACTAAGGCAGAAAGAGGGAAGGTGAGATTCTGAGATGTGAACAAAAATATGACAAAATTGGAGTGAGCCCTGTGTGTTCAAAGAGATTATGTGTAGGGGGAGTGTATTATACTGGGACTGGTTGAAGGAAACTCAGCCTCAAAACGTTTACTGTTACTTTATCTTGAATTCTCTTGTCTGGTTTTGTTTCTCTGACATTAAGCAGGAATGTTTTAGGTCCAGGAAACATTTGTCTAAGTACTTTTCTCTGAATATTACTCTTCTGCATCTATAAATGGAAGGGGGAAGTAAGTTATTTCTAGCATTCTGTGGGACCCATTCATCCTTGAACAGCATAATTATACTTGGTTATATCTATGAAGTGTTGCGAAATCAACTGGAAAATTACAGCACTGTCTTGGGAGATATTTACAAGTCAGTCACATTGTTGCAGTTTATGTGCAGACATCAAGTTGGGTTTTAGCAAAAACAAGTTTCATTCCTTTGGTTCTAGCTAAAATGAATCAGTTTGAAAATACTCTCCCACAGGAAATGCAGGATATGACCTTGTAGAAGCAATGTCATAGGCAAGTAGGGTTAATTTGGAGAGAGTTCAGCTATAGTCTGGATTCTTTCTGGTAAGGGAATTAGGACAATTTCATAGACGGGATTAAAAGTACTTCTTTGTTTAGGCTGGGAATGGTGGGTTATGCATGTAATCCCTGCACTTTTGGAGGCTGAGGCGGGAGGACTGCTTAAGCCCAGGAGTTTGAGACCAGCCTAGGCAACGTAGAGACCTTGTCTCTACAAAAAATAACTAGCCAGGTGTGGTGGTATACACCTGTAATTCTATACCTTGGTGACACAGTGAGACCCCCCCCAACTCCAAAAAAAAAAAAAAAAACTTGGTTTACAAAAGCTTTAGCATAACTCATGCTTCAAGGAATGAGTCTTGATTAGTGAAGAAAAATTAGTTAGGTCATCGGTAAATTCCATCAGGTCTTATACTGACACTGATAACCCTGAAAAAATTCCTAGGAGTCCTGGACACATATATACCAGCTAGCAAGCAAATAGTTGTCATTTTTGTTTGTTTGAAGCATGAGATAATTATCTGATTACCCTTCCTATCTGCCATAACATTTGTAGGTGTTTCGTTTTTTGAGTTGGAGGTTTCACTCTGTCACCCAGGCTGGAGTGCAGTGGCACTACCGTGGCTCACCACAGCCTCAACCTCCTGGGCTCAAGCGATCCTCCCATGTCAGTCTCCCAAGTAGCCAGGTCTACAGGCACACACTATGTCTAATTTGTGTGTGTGTGTATGTGTGGAGACGAGGTCTCACTATGTTGCCTAGGCTGGTCTTGAACTCCTGGGCTCAAGCAGTCCTCCTGCCTTAGCCTCCTAAAGTGCTGGGATTACAGGCGTGAGCCACTGCACCTGGCCTGTAGCCATGACATTTGAACGAAAGGTACATGCCTGGTGTGCCAAAAACTGCAAGAGATATAATGTGTTTTTTGGTTTTTATAAATTACTGAACACCACCACCACCTCTGGGGTACTGTAGAGTTCTTTTTTTGAAAGGATTTAATGAGAGGACAGAAAAGCTCCCACAGTGGGAGGGGACCCGAGGGGGTTGTCCTGTAGAATTTTGACAGAGAAATGAAGATCAGGGTGGGGGAAGAAAAACCTATCCAATTAAGAGACACATTACACATAAAAAGTCCCCAAGAATTGGGAGTGAGACCTCTGTCTGAAAAACAAAAACAACAACAAAATCCGCAAGAAGAAAAATTTTTACTTCTCATCAACCAACCATTTGAAGTACTTTTCTATGTGTTCTGTTATCTGGGTTTAGCTTAAGGTATAAACAAATCAAGAGGACAGAGTTCCCAGTCTCACTAGAATTTTAATACACGTTGGCTCATGTTTCATTTCTGATGATTCCTGGTTTGGCCTTAGGACTCACTAGGGGAAATGCCAAAGCTAAATAAGTTCTACAAATCAACACAAAAGTGGCACATGTCGGTCCCCCCGGGCCATTAGTTTATGTAACCTTGGAAACCACATGTTTGTAATACCTATAATGTAAGGGTAACATTACCAGCCTCTTTCATAAGTCTGAAGTTAAAAGCAAAGACATACCCAGAGAATTAAAACAGAAACAAAACCCCACCTCATTCTTGAATGTACTCCAATGTGTCAGGATATGGAGTCCTTGAAACCCATTTCGTCAAATCTTTACTCTGTGCCGATAGAACCTGGGTTCTAAATAAGATTTCATATTCTGAGGACTTTATCATTTAAGAAGAGGCAGGAGACTATGTACTCTATAAAACCATATAGTTATGAAGAATAAAACTTTGAGAAGAACAAAGACATGAAATCTGTAGAAGTATTTCTATTGCAATCTACATTATCACTTGCTCTTAACCCTGCAATTCACTTATTACAAATGTAATTACACATAATACACAATACAAGGGTTGAAGGCCAGCTCCCAAGACCTTTCCCACTAGTGAAACAAGGAGTCTGAGTATTGATGGTGTTCATCGATATAGCTGAATAGAGAAGCAAATCGGCTCTTGAAAAGGAACCGATGGCCACCTGTCTGATTTATATTATAAAGGAGGGGAAGAAGTTCTCCCTCGGGAACTTGGAATTTAAAGTCACTACCAAGACCTAGAGCCACTGCTGAGAGACAACAGGCAGTAGACATGCTTCTTGGAGCTCGAGTTTGGTGTCAGAATGGCGGACCTGGAAGCTGAGAGCTGGGAGGGGCTTGAGGGCCCATCCAGACCAGCTCCAACTGCAGGAGGTGGCAACTGAGGCTCAGAAATAGCCTACCAAAGACCAACGCGGGAAACGTCCATTCAGGGTTCTTTCACAACTTTGGCCTGCTTCCTGTCCCCGAAACGTCCTATAGTGGCTAGATAGCTAACTGGGTATTAACCTACAAAGAGATTCAGTGCCACTGTCTCCTGAAACACAAATCACTCAGATTCCCAGACTCCATCAGAAGAAAGTAAAATGTGGAGAGGGAAAGGACCGGTAATGCCGCATTACCTGTCAGGGTTCAATCAGAGAAGAACCAGTAGGGATTATGCAGAGGCTTGCTAAAGGGATCTGATCCAATGCAATTATAGGAATTGGTCAAACAGTCTCAATTCAGCTGTTTCTTCCTCACCTGAGCAGGGCAGGTGGTGAGAAAGGAAGTGGGGGAGAGCTGAAAACTGAGACCCACAAGCCACAAGCTGGGACCGGGTCTGTCTCTCACCAGAACTACATCTTAATTTTAAAAACCTTATTTTAAAATTTTAGCTTGAATGTTCATGCTTCTTCTGTCATCCAGTTGGTTTATGTCCTGCCTTTTATTCTGGCTTCTAAGAACCTCATGGACCTAGGCTTCTTTTAGCTTGTAAGATAGTATCTGGAATCCAAGACTAGAATCAGAGAAACCTTAGCTGAGATATGCTAAATTAAGTAGGATCAATTTAAATTTTTTTTAGCTTAGAAAATATAGTTTATTTAGAAAGAAAATGAGAGGGAGAGGGAGAGGGAGAGGGAGAGAGAGAGAGAGAGAGAGAGAGAGAGAGAGAGAGAGAGAGAGAGAGAGAGAGAGGAGATTCACCTCCCAAAGGTAGGGGGAGGGCCAAAGCTTAGGAAAACATGGTAGCCATAGCTCAAAGAGCCACATGGCCAGACCAAGCTTAGCAAACTAACAGCCAATTTTAATCTTATAATAAAGCTACTTTTATAAAACACTTTCTGAAGTTTGGAGGAATTAAGGGAACAGGATGGAGGCCTGCAGGTTCTTGGCCCCAGCAGCTCTTTACACCCCAGCTCCTGGTCTCAGTGTGGCTGCTGAGGTCTGTTCTCTACATTCTGTTCTTTGCCTCTTCAGTCCTTTCTTCCATGACAACGTCTCTGGTGTGTGAAGTACTACCTTGAGCACTTTTGTTACTCCTATCACTTTATATCCTAACCTTCTGCAGAAAATTTAGCTGCATTTCAGGTGTTTTTTCTTCATAAATGAAGGGCAGGGGCCACTTTGGTATCCCCAGCACAAGGTCTGGCACATTCAATGGGCTCCATGAATGTCTCCTGAGTGAATGATCTCTGTAGTTAAGGTCAAAGCCTAAATGTTGACCAGGCTAGTAAAAACATGTGCTGGTTAAAACTGTGTTACAAAAATTGGAGCCTGCTGGTGTTGATGTAATAAAAAGAAACTTAAACTATGTCTGCATCAAGGAAACCAGTTATCAGTGGAGAGGAATCTGATGAGGGTGTAGAAAGGGAGTTTAGTGTCCAATGACATCTTACGAGGGACATCATAACCGGGCACACAACAAAAAAGCCAGTGTTTCATCAGGGCAGGAAGAGGGTGCCCCAGATAAAGACTCGGTGTGACGGAGAGAGGGTAGGAACAGTAACAACACAGAGACCTAGATTACATTAGTTTTTATGTTGACAGTTCATGAACCAAAGAGCCTACTGAGTTAAATTTCATGAGGGCATCGAGAACACAGAGCTGCTTCAAATATTTCTTCCCTTCTTTCCAGCTCTTCAGTCCAGTAGCTAGACTAGACTATGGATACCGATATATACCCTCAATTTAAAAAAATCTAAATAAAACGAAGATGGTTCTCAATGCAGAGTTCTTGAAGAATTCCTAGTGGTTCAAATGTTCCGACTTTGGTCATCACTGAGAATTCGTCTGGATCATTTTGCACAGGAAAACTGCATCAAGGAAGAGAGCGGGACAAGTCCAATGTCCACGCCCATGGCCTACTCCACACCCACTTCTGAGCTCCACAGCCTCCCCCCCGGCTCCGAGCCTTGTCATATTCTGTGACTCTGGCTCCAAATGTCCTCAGGGCTCCAGCGCCCTGGGCTACGCGAGCAGCCAGGCAGGAGAAGCAGCAGCCCTACAGCCGGAGTTCGCGGTCCGGCTTCATGCTGAAGGGCTCCAGCCGCTCGCCTTCTGGCAGCATGCTGTTGAGCCTCTCCATCAGGGGCACAGTCTGGTCGATGCCCATCTGGATGCGACGGAGGATGGCTGACATCTCGTTGACTTTCTGGATCTGCTCAGCATACTTGGCGTACCTTTTCTGGTGCTCCTGCATGAAGCTAAAGAGGGTTTCTACGGACAGATCCATCTGTGAAAGGGAAGAAGTCGCAAAATAGATTAAGTCTTGGCTCATCCAGTCCTCTCAACAGAGTCTGGTGTCTAACACCAAAGGGACAGAGTCCCAACAAGCCAAGAGCAAGTTGACAAGTATTACAGACTCGTCGGGGGGTGAAAAGTTCTTTGTGAACACAGCTTTGTCAACGGCTATACCAGAACCATGCAGTACTTTGAAGTACTAAGAGAGGACTGTCCCTGCTGCTACACTGTGGAAATGTGTGCTCCTTATACTTCGTGGAGACCCTGAGATTTTTCTCTATCTCTGTCTCTCTACATGAAAGAGTCCTGGGCATGGATAATCAGTAAGACTAGGGTTTGAATCTGGCTTAGCCACATGAGTTGCTAACAGTTATCCTTTGCATCACAAGGTCCTCGTTTGCAAAAAAACAGGAGTAGCCAGGCGTGGTAGTGCGCACACCTATAATCCCAGCCACTCTGGAGGCTGAAGTGGGAGGACTGCTGGAGGCCAGGAGTTTAAGGCCAGCCTGGGCAACACAGCAAGACCTCTTTAAAAAACCATAAACAGGGAAGGAATCCCAGAATTGCAGGGTTGTAGTAAGGATGGAATGAGGGAACACATGCAAACACATCTCATATAGGACTTGGCGTGGTATCAGGGCACTTGAAAATGTGTTCTTCATTCCCTCCCTCTCTTCCCTGAATGGCTGCAGTTTGGGAGTCACTCGGGAAACACTATAGGGGAAGTATGGCTCTCCCTGCCAGAGCCAAAGATGCCAACCAAGGCTCTAGTCCATACCGTGGACCGTACCACTGCTCACCACCCTGTGAGAACTGCCTCGTGTACCCTTTTCCCCCATTAAACAAAAGCCAGCCTCTGGACTCCCCTCTTGTGACCTCTTTTCTTCCCCTGGTAAAGATCTTTAAACCTATCACCTAGATAAAGACAGGGGAAGGGACTGCCATTGTGACCTGCACCCTCTCCTCAGCATGGACCCCACATCCAGGGGAGGAACAGTAAACTCCTGAGACTTGCATTTCCATCCTGAAGTTCCCAAGGCTCCTTTGGCCCCGACTTCTTGTCCATGCCCAGAGCACGCACCTTCCCAACCCCAGCACCAGGCCAAGTGCTTGACACACATAGCACAAAACCTCGGAAAATGGCTTTGATAAAAATAAAAACAAGCAAACACATAGGAAACCAAAACTGGCCCTGGAAAAAAAATAGTGAGCTCTATTTTCTTTTTTCTTTCTTTTTTTTTTTTTTTTTTTTGAGTTGGAGTCTCACTCCATTGCCCAGGCTGGAATGCAGTAGCACACTCATGGCCACCCAGAGTCGACCTGCTGGGCTCAGGCGATCCTTCCGCTTCACCTATCAAGTAGCCAGAACTATAGGTGCATGCTACCACACCTGGCTATGTTTTTGATTATAGAGATGAGGTCTTGCCAAGTTGCCCAGGCTGTTTTCGAACCTGTGGGCTTAGGCAATCCCCTCACCTCGGCCTCCCAAAGTGCTGGGATTACAGGCTTGAGCCACCATGCCCAGCCATGAGCTCCATGAAGCAGAGAGGAGACAGAATGTCCTCTACCATATTCCTCACTGGTTTAAAGTGCCTGGGGGACAGAAGGAGCAACTCACGGGAGGGGAGCACAGGGAGAGAGAAAATCCATCAGATGGGAAACTCCCAATAATGCAGAAACAACGTGTGCCTTCGCCGATTCTCTGCAGCCCTGGGAAAGCAGGGAGCCCGTAGAGAGTGTCCCCACAGTCACTGCCAGGCCCTTCCAGGATGGCCACGCAATCAGCACCGAGACACACTCCACCTCCTGAGACAGTGGGGGTTGAAGCCAGGCAGAATCTTCCTAAGAACCAGAGTTCAGAGCCTCCTTGGGATCACATTTGTCAGGCAGAGGTGTTCCTGGCCCTCCAGGCCCAACCCTACCCGACCACACAGACACTTGGAGTTTACCCGAAGTGGCCTCCAAGGCACTAACTCACCATGTCTAAAGTCGCTGGCAGTCAACCCATCCCCAGATTCACACCTGACCAGGCAGTTTTCACAACCATCTCTGCAAGGCGTTTGTTCAAGTGGCGCATGTGCCCCTGTACATTTCCACATCCAGCTAAGGCCCACGTTTAATATCTCCAGAGTTTTGATGAAAGCCACACATGTTTAATGCTTAGGTGGGCACAAACAAGCGTGTTGTCCCTCAAGAATCACTTCCGTTACCCTCCCTGGAAGAAACTATAAAAGAGGAATCTTGCGGTTGCATGACTTCCAAGGTCTCACAGTGACAGAACCAAGACTAGAACCTGGGTTTCCTAGGCCTGGCAGCTCCCTTTCACATGTACATGAGACTTTTGTTAGTCCATGGCATGGCACAAAAGAACATCGAATCACATGATGGGAAAGTTATCACCTTGTGAAATTTTTCCCATTCTTTGATTGCTGGAAACAAAAAAAAGTCTCAGCTTGGCGCAAACAATAATTTAATACTTGGAAAAGTATAATGAAACTGGAAATGCCTTTTTGGTGTCCCTGCTCTTTGATCTCTTGAGATAATGCTGTCCCTGATCCACAGTCCCTATCTGTGACCCCTCCATGAACCCTAGGCATACACTTACTGTGCCACGTTTAATATCACTTTGTGTGGTAAATGGGCATCTAGTGCAATTCTGATCACCACCTTGACTACCTGGGAACATATCCTTATTTGCTTTCCCTGCTTCTATTTTTGGCATATAGAGTCTAATAAGACCACACATATATTCATTTGTATTCTTCTTGATAAACAGATATATCATAATATCTCCTAAGATCCCTGACTGAGTACTCCACAGTTATTCAAAAGACACAGCTCAATACAGAGCACTCCAACCATCCGAGCTGTAGCTACAGGGCAACCATGAAGCTGTCTGTGAAATGGACAGTTACAGTTTTTGCTGACCAAACTCATCAATCCATTCAGCTACCAACCAAACAATGGTTAAGATCACAGGTTCTGGAGTCAGACTCCCGGTTTAAGGGCCACCCTCTATCCGTATCTATGTGATTTTAGAAAACTACCTATAAGAGCAACTACATGACAGCAAGGATTTTGGTATGTTTTAAACCCTGCTATATCCTTAGTACTCAGGATACAGTAGGTCCTGAACAAGTATTTGTGGAACCAATGGATGAAAATGTCACTAAGCTTCGGTTTCCTCGTCTATAAGGAGTAGGGATAACAAGAGTGGCTACTTTATAGGACTGTCCTGAGGATTAAGTGAGATACTCCATGCAGAACATTTATTATACTGCCCAGCACACAGAAAGCACATGCTAAGCATGAGCTGTTTCCACACTGTCAACAGGCATTTACTGAGTGCTATCACATGCACGCTGCTAGGACCTAAGGTATAGACATTGAGAACCAAGACTATTTACATCCACACAGATTACTGATTTAATGTGATTTTTCTTTTCCAGTGACTTTGTTAGTATGACTTTACTATTCCAGGAAACTCAGCTCTAGAAAGATACAAGTTACAACTACTTTTGTTTCAGAAACAACAAAATGTTTAAATGAACAAACTATTTGATTTCCCAAAGAAATTGAACGACTGTTTACTCTTCACAACTCTTGCCTCAAAACCCTTCCTGTGCTATGACCACTTGACCAAGATCTAGTCAGTTTTATGTGTATGTGTAAGTCCCTCACCGCAGCTTTTGAGCACCTTCCTTAAAAGTTAGCTGGCATGCACTCTTGGCTTCTCTTCCTCATTGTCCCTCCCCCTTTGCTGCTGCTGAAATGTGGGTGCAGCCCACACAGATCATGAGAATAACTATGTTCACATCCTTGGGTTGGCAAAGCATGAGCTAAAAGAAGCTTAGGTCCATGAGGATGTTTGTGGGTAAGAGTAAACCAGTCCTGGGAGGGAAGAATAAACTTTCATTTCATATAAGTCACTGTAATTTGGGGTTTCTGTAATACTAGTTAAATGTAATCTTATACTGATAGAAACGAATGGGACAGAGCCCCTGGCCTCAAGGAATTCATCATTTACTCAAACTCATACTTCAAACTGTGCCCTACAGATTTATATACTGTCCCTAGTGGCAGTGAATTCAAAGGACAAGTGAAAAAGGAGAGGAAATCATGTGTGAATGTAACTCTGGGTTTCACTATCTGTAAAATATGCTCAAACTTGTTCCAGATACCTTATATGGATGGTATAGTACATCTACTCACCTGGCTAGTCCCCTCCATAAAAAGACCCAAAATAGTAACAAATCAAATCCAGAAATATATTTTTAAAATACTATATTATGACCAAGTAATATTTATGTCACGGAGACAAGCTTTTTCGACAACAGAAAATCAACCAAACTAATTTGCCATTTCAACAGAATAAAGGTTAGGAATCATATTCTCTTAACAGATGTAGAAAAAGTATTCAACAAACAACATAATTTTCTTCATGAAAGTTTTCAGCAAGCTGAAAACAGGGAGAAAAAAAAAACACCTCCAGAACCTCATAAAAGGCACCTATGAAAAACTTACAACTAACATCACAGTTACTCATGAAAGATACTTTTCTCCCTAAGATCAGGAAGGTGGCAAGGATATTCACTCTTACTACTTCTACTCAGCATTGTACTAGAAGTCCTAGCCAATGCAATAAGTCAATAAGAAGAAATAAAAGGCAAAAATAGGAAAGGAATAAACAAAAGGTCTTTATCTGCAGATGACATGATATTATACTTAGAAAATCTTAAGGAATCTATCAAAAACGAATAAAACTAACATGTGAATTTTAGCAAGGTTGCAAGATACACAGTATACAAAAATTAATTGTATTTCTATATAAGAGTGAACTGGACAATGAAACAAAAGAGTACTATTTACAATTGCATCAACAACATGAAATATTTAGGGGAAAATGCAACAAAATATGTATAAGACCAGTACACTGATATTAAAAAACACTGTTGTAAAAAATTAAAGGAGATCTTAAAAAACTGAGTATAC